TATTTGTACGTATATACTGCTAACAAGCCATAAGATTAAAACAAATCTATTAAAGCAGAGCCAGTTTCTTTTCCTCGTGAGATATTAATGTGGTTAGATGAGGATCGAAGATCAGCATCAGGATGGGGTGTAATTTAATTGCATAGACAAGGTGCTTTAACTATCCACCGTGAAACACAATTCTCAATCTGGTTATTTAGATCTACATCCGGTACAGTTAACCCATAAAGACACAAAGAATCAAAACAGTCAACGAACTCATACCTCGGAAATTTTGATACATCAGAATTGGCTAACTCCAGCTAGGCCCCTGAAATCAACCGGACTATACCGGCGGATTTAAATGTGAATCGGTACAACACCCTGATTACATTGAAGCTGGTAATAACACGTCGACATCNTTCCACGAGAACGAGATGTCGGCCAACCGGACCCGGATATACCGGATGTTTAACGATCCAAAGACAAATAAAGTTCGTTCGTTCACACCTAGTTTACGTGTAGAAGTGAATGTCATTTTAGAGGAAAATGATTGAAACAGAGGCCAGTAGATAACTACTTTCTCTTTCGCTCATCAGTACGGTTCTGCAGCGGGGNAAGTCAATTCGTAATCCGACTACGTGATAAGAGGGCAGCAACAGAGCTATAGATATTTTTGACTCATATAGAGTTAAGTCCAAACTGTGAATCAAACTACCGTTGAGCCGAGTCGCGCAAGTTGGTCTGGACAGCTTAACTGAAATCTATCCGCCTGAATGGCGGCTTGGTTGAGATCACGTGGGAAGAAAACCGTCATCTGGCGATGATCACGCATTCAGATGTTGCACCAAATATCGTTCATTGTATGCTATCTCCAGATTCTGGGGACTAGGCCACAATAATCAGAACTCTGAACGCTCTTCGGCCCCTTGATTAACCCTATTTATTGTCACTTCCAAACGGGAGACAATCTAATGTATTTCCCCTAGTGACTCGTATAGACTTGATCGCTACTGCAAGTCATTCCCGTCGGGATTTCAAGCTCCGAGCATTGACAGTAGTACTGCCAGGAATGACCAAACGTAGTCAGGCCCAGATAATTCATGCGACCAATGTTAGCCTATTATTAGCAGCAGTTCAGTGAATTTACAGCTATTCATATTAGTTAAATTAACCGTTCATGACTTACACCTGACAATCCCTAACCAGAATTTCACATGTTCCGTGTTTCGAGCTATGAAACGACATGTATACACACAAACACACGGCTCAGAATGCTCATTCGGTGGTTAACTCCCCCAACCCTACCGGGTCATCGAAAATTGACGGTTGCATTCACACAAAGTGCAACATGATGTTTCAGCACAAATTACACTAATCATAGTTTCACAATTCACAAACGCGAATAGTTATCATCCGTGCTGTGAGAAGTACATGCAACCGTATGTGGTCTATTTGTCAAACCTCGTCCGCATGGGAACTGCGAACATATTCTCACCGACACGGCCTGATTGTTTGCCACACTCGTTCAGCACGCACCGATGCTAATGACCAGTCAACAAGCTGCCCCATGTAGAAAGAAAAAGCGATGATTCGCATCCACAACCATGATCGGGTGTTTTTTTTTCAGTTCCATTGTCTGACGACAGACTGATCTGTGTTAAAAACGGAATTTGTCATTTGGCAACAGTTGACGGGAGCAATCTGTGCACTGGAGCATCGACGTACTATTCCGTAGTGAACTTTAAATCATGTCCATATCATGAAACCAGCTCGAATCCAGGCTACGGTTAGGGCAATATTGCGCGAGAATCCTATCCACAACTGGAGTAAACGATTATTCCCCATGCTATCGATCGGTTCGATAGCATGTTGTGACCTGAATCACTCATATTAGTCACGCATAAAATATAAACACACACACACACGTGCGCACCAGATTCACCAACAAACTATAGACCAGTGAGAGCACGCGAGGGAAGAACAGATAAACTGGCAAGGATAGAAAGACGGATAAGTCAAACAGAACCGACAACAACTACTACTAACTGTTCCGTGGACAGTGAGCCGAACGTATGTACGAGGACTGGGTAAATGAGGATCGATCAACTAGGAACGAAGTAATCCGACAAACATGCGCACTTCACTCGGTTGGAACTAGAAATAGTCATTTGTCACCCATTGTTGCAACTAATTCATATGTAAACAGGCATAGTCAGTTGAATCCAATTCACTGATTAACCATTCCTAAACACACACACACACACCGATGAAAAAGTATGCAGTGAAACAACAACAAAAATAAATTATCCTTGTTGTCTTCATTCCTTGTAATTGTTTCATCTCCATTTGACTCTGTTCTATAGTCCCAATTCCCTTACCTTTTGTTATTATTGTCGCACTGGTGTTACGTATGTCACCAAATAGGTTGGCTGGTTGGAGTGATGCTCGATGAGGCAGGTCGTGGGTGGAAAAAGGTAAAGGACGATCAAACGAAGACATGACATGAGGGTATGGAAACCTTAACCAGGAAACTTGGTCACATAGGTCGCGTTAGGCTCCCTTGCTGCGGTATACACACGTCTGATGCCAAACAAATCGTAGTACAACAAACTTTTTAAAAAAGAAAAACGATTCACTATTTGTATGACGGCCGAATACTGCCAGGTTGCCCATGCCAATGCAGGTGAATTTTCTTGAGGAACCACAACCGGAGCCTTCGGTTAGCCAAAGCCTGACGCGCAAGGCAGTGTGAAAACCGTAATCCATTGGGGGCCGGTGTTCAGTCCATCGGATCATACGACCTTAAGACGGGGTTAAACGTCCAAGTTGCAATTACACCTTGTTGCACAATCGAACCGGTGACCACTGCCAAGAGGGGGTGGATGAGGTTCGTACGCCTCTTCTTGTTTGGTTTGAAATCAGGGTTTTTGGCCAACCCCACTTAGGTGAACTACCAGTGGTTCACCAACCCGGTTATAGCCCTGGATGTCGGCCTTTCGTCCCCTCACTTAGGTGGGAAAACACTCTGGCTGGGGACCTTCGGATGATCCTACCCGACTGTTGGAGACACCGAGTGATATGGCTGTAATAAGCAGTGGCGCTCGTGCCTCTTCTCAATCTCTTAGCAACATTAGTTCATTGAAATTCTCCATTTTCTGTTCGACGATTTATAACTCTCCTCTCCTTCTCCTAACGTCCATCCAAATGGGCAACCGAAAGACAGAAACCAAAACCGGAGAACGAAAGTGCATAGTTAATGTTTGTTCTCAAAATGTAACTGGAAAACTCTTGTAAGTGTGCACACTGTTTTGTTAAGGCAAAGATTATTCGCGATGTGTGCTGTGCATAGCACTGCATAGTGTTGAGCCCCACCGAGTTAGTCTGTGAAACGAGAATAACACAAAACCATCGCCGTGCCCCAGGGGGTACAAAAACCCCGAATCTAAGCACTCGGTTGTGGTCGAACGTTCACCTACCTATCAATTGACCCAGTTTCATCTACCTCGATTATGCAAACAGAAATTCATGCATAAAAAAGGATACTTGTACCAAAACCAATACGGTGTCATAATTGATTGTAAAAACCGTAGAAAAGAAACTGTGGAACACGCGGGTGGGCGAGCGGGCGGAGTGAGAGGGGAAGACAGAAAGTAAACAACACTCAGAGAAACAAAACAATAATCAATTAATTACATTGTGCAAACGGAATAATTCTCATTGGAAGTGAAACAGAACAGTGGCAAAATAATGAAAAGCATCGGTGGGTTGATTAGACACAGACAGACGGAATCGTGTTCGACGCCGGGGGGGGGAAGGGCCGGAACAAAGACGTTATTAAAANATTAAAACGGGGGGTGAGGGGAGAAAACGAGTAACAATGCTAGTTGGGAGTCAAAGTGCACACGTGGTGGGTGCATTGGCAGAAGACAGAACGCATTGTTCAAGAGGGCGCGAAAATGCAACCAGGACGGTTTGGTCGTTGAAAGAAACCCTGGATTTTCATTTCATAAGTGAGAACACAAGGCATTACACAGGCAGGACAAACGAGAAGAATACAAATCACATAACCAAACATAGATGTGTGTGAGGCTGAAAATAACCAAGTTACGCGACGCTTGCTAGGGCTTGGAAGACCATCTACATAGCATAAATCATTTAACAAAAGGGGGAGGTTAGAGAGGACGAGATGGAGGCAAGTATCTAGCTCTGAGAACCAATAATGCATTAGGAGGCAAGAACGGTATAATAAGTAAGGAATATTAGCAATCGGAGAGAAAGAGTCATGTGTTCTTCGGAATCGATGTATATAATATAAGCCGTGATTGTCAACAAGCTTGAGAAAGGAACAAACCAACAGCAAAATCAACCAACTGACCTGAAACACGAATAAGGCATTCTGGGGGCGTCTTGGAGGGGGGGCGGTGTTCACCTAATAGATACAAGCCGGGCATAGATTAATTCGCATACAAAATCCGTTGAACAAGATAGCGGCAACCACAAAACATGTGAACAGCACAATGGAAACCCAGAAACAGACTTTCTCCCAACGTTCCACTTCCAGGTTACGCAGTATTGGTATACCAACAAGGACACCTGAAAAATGAGATAAAAGGAACAACAGAAGCATTGTGTGTATGGATCAAAGTGAGACGGACAGGCCAACTTTTTACTTTCTCATTCTGAACACANCTGAACACATAAGTGTACAAAGCAATTGTTGGGAAGAGGAGCAAGCGGACACCCAAAGGACTATCCAGAGATGATAGTCGGAAAAAAATCAGTGGTATTTGTTGGATTCGAACACAACTTTCGAGAAATGTTTGGAGGGATGGGGGGTAACAGTACCTGCCTATTACTTTTCGAATGAGATCTGTATGCCCACATTGTTTGAAATTCGAATGGTTTTGTTCAATTAATGATGCTTAAAGCGTTTTACGTCTCCAAAAGACTCAGTATGGACGAGGGTGGGTGTCGAGGGTTGCGGCTGGTCATCCTCCCCTTGCACCTAGCCAAACGCTGCCATACGACCAAGCGTCTAAAATAGCCTCTGCTGAGGAAACCCTACTCACTCCCTTCTCGTGGTGGAGGTCTTTTGCCACCAAAGTGAGAGGACGAAAAGCCGACAGCTGGGTTTATAACCGGGTTGCTGAACAACTGGCAGTTCATCTAGGGGAGTTGGCAAAAAAAGCCTGATTCCAAACTAACCATGAGGAAGCGTACGAACTACACACACCTTTCCGGTTGTGGCAGTGGTCACTGGCTCAATCGGGCATCGATGCATGGGGCATCTTGGACGTTTGACTCCGTCCAAAGGGCGTGTGATTCGATTAAATGGATACCAACCCCCAATGGATTGCGGTTTTCACACACCGCCACGCTGCCTTACGGTTTAGGCGTTGGTTAGCCAATGACTCCGGCTGCGAATTTCTCAATAAAATTCGCCTGCCTTGGCCTGGGCAACCTCTCAGTATTCCACCCACATACAAATTACGGAATGTTTTATTTAATTTTTCATAAAGATTATTGAACCACGATTTGTTTGGCCCACAGTCTGGGATCGGACGTGTGTAAATATTAATAAGCAGAATCACCCAACCCCTGTAAAAACTTTAGCTGAAATTTAAAAACTGTTGGAGTTGAGACGATTACAGATTACAACTTAAGAACCATTGGGGTAAAACTCGATGGAGATCCTGTGATCCTTAGAGGAAAATGCTGGAAATGAGCCATGTCAGTTACGGGTAGCAAGGTTGCAACCATGGGTTGTGCTACATCATGCACAGACAGAGTGAAATAGTTCGATCAGTTCCCCGTCGGTCAGATTGTGGTGGTGGTTGTTTTCTTGCACTGTATTGAGGCTGTGATCCAACCGCTTAACTTCATTCCCCTCCGATTGTGTCATCAACGCATTT